AACCCAAACCCAAACCCAAACCCAAACCCAAACCCAAACCCAAACCCAACCCCAAACCCAAACCCAAACCCAAACCCAAACCCAAACCCAAACCCAAACCCAAACCCAAACCCAAACCCAAACCCAAACCCAAACCCAAACCCAAACCCAAACCCAAACCCAAACCCAAACCCAAACCCAAACCCAAACCCAAACCCAAACCCAAACCCAAACCCAAACCCAAACCCAAACCCAAACCCAAACCCAAACCCAAACCCAAACCCAAACCCAAACCCAAACCCAAACCCAACCCAAACCCAAACCCACGACTAAGGTCAGACCCAACATTTTGACTTTTATTCATCTTAATTAATTATCTCAATAAATACTCATTATAAATCAATATATTATATATCAATATACTCCAAATTGAATATATAATCATATTATAACATAATATTACATCATTATAATGACTTATATAAGTTTATTTCATATAATAGATTAGACAATTAGAATATCAATGAAAACATTTCAAAATCATTTCAAATCAATATATCATCTTATAAATCATGTCAATAACAAAATATATCAATTTCAAATACTTTGGTATCATTTCAAGAAATATACTATTCAACTTGTCAACTGACCTATACTAACATTGAAGATAGAAATCTATACCACTTCAATTCACTTCCAATACATATATACATGATAATTAAATACATTAATATCATTTTGACATTCATCCATATCATACATGGTACATGGCTGATCCACTTGATACATACAGGGATGTGACAATGACATCTACTATACAGATCATCATATAATTGATACATTACCTTACTAATGGTGAATAAACACTACTGCATCAGTTTCATGACAATTTGAAATCATTCAACCTGTCAGGAGTGTAATCATGAGAATAATAAATGTCAAGATAGTGAAATCATATTAATTTTAAAATCTTTCAATTACAATATCATATATAGATCAATTAATAATGGTATTTCAATAATTGGTATTGATTTTCATATCAATTCATTCAAACCTTAATGACCTATCCTTAGATGACCAAGTCAATTTTAAACTATCATGAATCATATAACTATTGATACCACTGTGTTCACAATTGAAAATCTAGTCGATTGATATTAGTTTCACCAATTGGACATATATATATGGTCAATTAGGGAATCTCAAAGTCAAATTTGTAAAACTAAGACATGCTATATATAATGTCTAATAAATCATAATTATATATCAAAACTTATATCAAAATGCTTCAAATTACATATACAACATGGTGGAATTGAAATAAATATCATATCTCATATTAAATATTGAGATAGTCAATTAAGGTACCTCAATAGGAAAGTACCCTAAGGACAATGAGATTCATTACCAAATTGATACAATATGTTAATAACATCATATAATGAGGTTACTATCAATTTCAAATCATTTGGACATCATTCAATATTCATGTCATTTAGCCATGTCGGTGACTACTCATGACAATATGACAAGTCAATATCAAGATGTGCAAAAAGATAGAATATCATACCACTACTCTTATAAATGATATTGGTAACGTTTCTGAGTGATAGAAATCAATATCTATATAAATGGGATATCTGTCAAGTTACTGGTCCAATTGATCAAAGGTAACATTCCTACATGTCAACAATGTTTAAAATCAATACCAATTCATTGATATCGTGTTATAATCATCATATACTCTCATATTATCAGTTTTGGAATGATTTCAATATCATCTTAGATAGTTGTCATATGACAAAGTTACTACCTTAGTGAACTATCCATGTCATTAAGAAATGTCAAAATTGATATATTTCAATTATGTATTCATATATACATCAATTAGAGTCTATAATATCAGTTTCATGATACATAATCAATAATTGGTATTATGGAAATATTTCTATTGAGAATTGACATTGCAACATTTCCCAAATTGGAAATATAGAATATTACATCATGAAACGAGGTATTTATCGATAAAATGCATAGTTAAACGATATTATCAAATAAAATATATAGGTCCCTATTGAAAGTGTTTACCTGGTAAATAGTGAGCTTAATTTCCCCTACTTTCATCCTAATTGGTTATCTCCCTATATATATGATAGATTTCAATTATTTCAATTACATATCATAAAATATGATAATTAGACATGTGTCAATGAGTGGAATTAAGTCATGTAAGATATTCATCCTTCAATAACCAATATTGTCAATTCCACACAAGTTGACTTCCTACAGTCTGAATATGGATCCAATAATAATTATTTCAATTATATATGATTATATTTGATATTTACTACAATATCTATAAGTTTGATTGAATGTTATAGTGTTTCCATAGTATGGCTCAATATCTTGGTCAATTAAGGTAGAATGAGTACAGTATACTAAGGATATCATATATTATACTTCAAACACTTCTACACGGTGGATATCATCAATATACATCATATATATGAGATTGGTGATGATTCTAATAACATTCGTGTTATAGTACAATAAATGTTGAAAAGTTGATTTTTAGACAAGATGTAACTTTATATATATACCGATTTAACATGATTAATTCAAAATATCATCTATTCATACATATATCTACAATATATAAAAATTTACAATCCAACTCAACTTTGAAATTTTAGACCTACTAGGGTAAATACCTTAATATTTTAGGCAATGCCTTATAACTTTTTGGCCTCCGACTATTTTTTAAATGTTTCACCGGATTTAGTCAACTCATATATTGATCTATTGATTATGTGTAGATGGTATTTCAGATATTCCTAGTTATTGAGATATGCGAAGAAAACCTAACTTTTTTTTCATCGAGTACCTATTATCTCTAGAACCACTTTGAGTTTTTATTAGCATATAACAGTTTGTCGATAAAATTGTACCCTGATTAACATATATAAGATCCAAGTTTTCAATATTGTCCATTAATAAAATGGTAATGGGTTTTCGCCATACCCAAACCCAAACCCAAACCCATCCTGACATGAAAATGTTCCATTTGATGAGTATACATCGAATATCAAATTTATTTTAACTTTCATATTTAAAGATTTCTTCCCTCAACCATCATACTGTCAACTATGATGAACAGGATGAAATCTTGAAAAAGGACCACCTATTGAAACTTTACCAACATCATTTAGATGATATTTTATGATGTAGAATTCAATTTCATATCATAAAAATCAGAAATGGTATCATGGGAAGGTAAATGTTGAAATATTATGGTTGACTTTAGAGAAAGACAAGTCAGACCAACTCTATCAAATACATCTCTTCAACCAACAATATATACATGAAAATGCTCCATTCGATGAGTAGAGATAGAATATTAAGTTTATTTTA